GGTGGGGTGTGCGTGAAGAGTCAGCAGAGAAAGGCTCAAGAACTGGCTGCAAACTCAGATGCCTCTGTGACCAAGCCCGGTGACCATGATGTCTTAGGGGGTGGGGGTGGGGTGGGTGTAGGTCATGCACTTGGCTGCTGATCAAAAGGCTGGAGGTGTGAGCCCATCGCAGGTGCCTTCAAAGCGAGCCCCGGCCATCCACTTCAGAAAAGCCACACATGGGAAACCCTGCAAGGCACATTTCTCCGACCCACGGCCTCATTCACCAGGATCAAGGTACTGGCAACGGGTAGGCGGCAGGACGGCAGGCGCTCCCTGTGTGAGGGCGGCATTTACTTCTTAAATTGAGACCTGGTGGCATGCAATGAATCTAACTAACTCATGGGTGCTTTCCTGAAATGCAACGTAGAAGGATTGGATTTGAAAACATGGGCCTGAAGGAGAAAGAAAGGAAGTGAAAGGAGAGCGAAGCCCCTTTACGCTGCAGGATGTGAGCAGGGAGGAAAGGAAAGAGCCTGTATGGTGGGAGCAAGCCTGTCCAGATGACCCGGGTGGACTCAGAAAGAGGCCTGGGGCCTGACCACGGAGTCAAAGTGGCTCCTCAGTCTCAGCCCAAGGTAGATCCCTAACTGGTCCCAATCCCTTCCAAACCTGCCCTGGGAGTTCCTGGCCAAAGGGAGTGGAGGCTGCATGGTAGGGAGCATTTACAATTCAGAACAGGTGGGTTGGGCAGAATCTCATTGTAGAGGCCCCCAAAGCAGGCAGGAGTGAGCTCCTTAAGCTAGAAACAGGGAGCTGTCAGGAGCTTCGGGGCACAGAAAGAGCATGGGGAAGGAGAGCTGATCAGAGAAACTTTTGCGAGATGGATTTCAGGGCGGGGCACCCAAGAAGCCGGAGAGGCGGCTACTTGGAAGGACAGGGAGGAGGGAAAGGAAGCGCACAGAGAGACAAACTACACGCCAAGTGAAGAATACATGGTCTAGTGACCTACTGACCCGAGAACTAAGGGGGGTGGAAATGGAGGGGCACAGACAGAGAGGGGGGCAGGGAAGCGATTCTCTATGCGGAGTTTGAAGCAATGTCCAAGTAGAGACATGCAATAGATGGCTGGAAATCCAGGCCTGGAGGTAAGGTGATAAAACACACGGCAGATGATCGGGGCACAGTGGGGGGGTGTCAGCAGAGATAAGAAAATATAATCCTCACTTAAGGAGAAGACTTAGAGAGAAACACCCGTTTGGCTCTAGGGCCTGTTTCCACAAGGAGAGATGTGCTGAGGTCTGCCTGGAGTTCAGTGTCAGTACCGGGTGGCACGAGCCACCTCCGGCCATGCAGCAACAATCACACCACACAAGGCGTTTGGTTTTCAAGAGGCGCTGGTGTTGACAGCTGTCAAAAGCAGTTGCTTCTCTCTCATTTTCTTTTCTTGCAAGGGATCTCGAAAATACTGATGTTCACTAACTAACGTAGAGAGCCCTTGTGGTGCTGCAGTCTCAGGATGGGTCTGTTAACGTCAAGGTCGGTGGTTCAACCCCACCAGCCGTTCCGAGGGAGAAAGATGAGACTGCCTACTTCCGGAAAGACTGCCGGTCCCAGAAACCCTCAGGAGGGTCACTGTGAGTTGGAATCGACTCGGTGGCAAGTGGGTTTGGGTTGCATCAGTAAACAAGAAGTGATGAGTCACATTCTCCCTTTAGGGTCCAAGTCGACACAGCTCGCAAGAGCCTCTGGTCCTTTGTATCAGAAGAGGGCTGGCTAAATTGGCCTGTATCATGAAGGACGGAAGACGTGGGACAAAATGGCAGCTATGTCCCAATACACTCGGGACTTCTGCCCGGCCTCTTTCCTTAGGAGTAAAGCTGGAACCAAAGGAGGCCCCAGGGATATGGATTCTAATTCCTAACCCTTGGGGATGACTGGAGGGGGAATGTATTTAGGCGCTGCTCATCAGCCAGGTCTGCAGAAACCACTAGATGGGGAGATGGGCTAGATGATCTCACGAGCCTCCTCCAGATCTAAGGGGGCTATTCAACTTCCAAAGGGTGTAGGAGCAGCTGTGAGAGAGCTCATCACCAATAGGCCCTGGGCAGTCAATCGCACGCAGCGCGAGAGCAGTTACGGAGCTCACTTCCTGCACAGATGTTAGCCACAACCAAGTACTAGACTCATTATTATTCTTTCCCCGGGGAAAGGAGAGCTTGGTATACACACCAAATTTTGTTGTATGCTTCTAGGCAATCCGGTTTAACATTGTGAACTGAAACAAAAGAAAATCCAACGATAAACATCTGAGCAAAGGGACAAAGCACCAGCGGGTGGTGGTGG